AAGTCCATAAGCCATGAAGGAACCATAATTCCCCCATACTGGCTGAGTAATTCTGGGAGTTGAAGTCCATAAGCCATGAAGGAACCATAACTCCCCCTTACTGGCAGAGGAATTCTGGGAGTTGAAGTCCACAAGCCACAAAGCGGCCATCATTCCCCACCTCTGGTCCAAGGAAAGCAAAAAGCTTGCACTGCCTTCCAATATCAACGTGTCCATTCAGAGTTACCTCAGAACGCTGCTGCTCGTTGGTAGCCCTTACCATGATGTTGCCCATGGGGCCGGTCTCGCCTTCCCCATAGGTGGAGATGATGACGTTGACGTTCTCCACAATGCGCTGGAAGGTCTGGTACAGCTCCTCGGGCTGCAGTTGCAGCTCCAGCAGGGCTCGGTCCATCTTGTTCATCATCAGGACGGGCTTGATCCTCTCGGCGATAGCCTGGCGCAGGACAGTCTCGGTCTGGACACACACCCCTGGGGAGGAAGAAGAGGCAGCTCAGCTCGACTTCCGTAACGGTTGTCGCTCCCATCAACTTGGTAGAGTCAGACAGGGAATATGAACCTTCTAAATCGGGGGTGTCCAAACTTTGGCAACTTTTAAGATCTGTGGGCTTCAACTTCCAGAATTCTTGATGTTGAAATCCACAATTCTTTTTTTTCCATAAAGTTATTTATTTTATCTTCTTCCATCCATCCAACCATCCACCATCTGTCTGTCCATCTATCATCTATCTCTAATCTTATCTATCTATCCATCCATCCATCCATCAACCATCTGTCTATTCATCTCGAATCCTATCTATCTCTAATCCTATCTATCTGCCAACCAACCAACCATCTGTCTGTCCATCTATCATCTATCTCTAATCCTATCTATCTATCCATCCATCCACCATCTGTCTGTTCATCTATCATCCATCCATCTCTAATCCTATCTGCCAACCAATGAACCATCTGTCTGTCCATCTATCATCTATCAATCTTATTTCTATCTTCTATTCTTCTTTCTTGTTCTTTATTATATTATATATATTTCATACATAATATATATATATATATATGTGTGTATATATGTATGTGCATGTGTGTGTGTGTATATATATATATATATATATATATGGATGGATGGATGGATGGATGGATGGATGGATGGTTTGGTTGAAATTGGTCAAAGCGTCCCAGTTATCCTGGAAATACACACACACACACACAATTATATTTATTTATTTATTTTTTAAAGGCTGTATGTGTGTATGCTCCAGCCTTGAGCAATTTCAGCCAAACTTGGTACACAGATGATTTACCTTGTGGAAACAAATACTGTGGGGGTAAGACCCCCCCTAACACCCCTCAGTGTGTGTGTGTGTGTGTGTGTGTGTGTGTGTGTGTTTGTGTGCCCTAAAATGACTTCTGCCATGGTAACAGGGCTCCCTCACAAGGCTCCCTCTTGTGGAGGAATAGAAGAATTGTGCAACAGATAGTACAACAACGTGAGTCCACGTACAGGTTTTTCCTGTCTAATACAGGATTGGGATAAATAAATACCAGAACAATGCCAGGTTATCGGTTAGTTACATATAAAAATTCCATTTTTAGTTAAAACGGTGCATTGTCTGCTTACAAATAGTTTTAGGAAATAGTCATCGAAGTGTTTACAACAATATTCATTACGCTGATATTCCTTCTATCATAGTAATCATAATCATAATATTGTCCACAATTCTTAAAGTGGGAGTTTAGAATTTTGGGAGTTGAAGTCCAGAATTTTACTTTTTTATTTAACATATGGCAAATACATGGACATATAGTGGTTTAAATGTTAATGTCCAGCCATTCAAGGTCTGTGTTGGAAAAAATAAGACATTGGGCCAGTGTAGCCTCTTGATGGACATTCGGACACAATGTCATGGATATTTTGTCGAGAAGTATCACAGTCTTGTGGTGTTGAAGTCCACAAGTCTTAAAGTGGAAATTTAGAATTCTGGGAACTGAAGTCCAGAAGTCTTAAAAGTCTTGTGGATTTGAAGTCCACGGGTGGGAATTTAAAATTCTGGGAGTTAAAAAGTCCACAAGTGTTTACAGTCTTGTGGATTGGAAGTCCACAGTTCTTAAGGTGGGAACTTAGAATTCTTGGAGTTGAAGTCCACAAGTCATTAAAATCTTGTGGCGCTGAAGTTCACAACAAGTCTTAAAGTGGGAATTTGGAATTCTGAGAGTTGAAATCCAGAAATCTGAAAAGTCTCATGGGGTTGAAGTCTACAAGTCTTAAAATGGAAACTTAAAATACTGGGAGTTGAAACCCACAAGTTTCAAAGTCTCGTGGAGTTGGAAGTCCACAAGCCTTAAAGTCCACAAAGTGGGGATTTAGAATTCTGGGAGTTGAAGTCCACAAGCCTTAAACTTGCCGTGGTTGGATACCCCGGCTCTACATTCTTAGCACTGCCCACTGGGCACACCCACCAGCAAAGCTCAGGGTCTCAAAAGGGGGAGTGGGAAGCCATTTTCTTACCGGAAACACAATCCACAACAACCAAGGCACCATCGGTGACCCGTAGGGCAGCTGTAACTTCTGAAGAGAAGTCCACGTGGCCAGGGGAATCGATTAGATTGATCAGGAACCCGCAGCCATCTTTGCTTTGCTTGATGAAGGCCAAGTCGTTCTCGGAGAGCTCGTAGAAGAGGGAAATGGCCCTAAGGGGAGACGCAGGAGAAAAGTTACAAGACACGGCGGATTCTTAAAAACTGACTATAAAGAGAAAACCAAAAACTATTTTCTTTTGGGTTTAATGGAAAAAGACTTGGGGGGGAAAAATTGGAACTCTTTATGTTGACGGCAGCAAGACTAACGTATACACAAAAACAGAAAGACACTTCAACACCCACCCACCCCAAAGGATGAATGGCTGCAAAAGTTGAGTTGGCAGAGCGGGCTAAATTGACTGCTTTGATTAAAAAGAAAAACGTTAAGTACTTTTGTTTCCAGTTGGAAACCACTTCTGGACTTTGTGCGTGGAGTAGAAAAAAACTCAGCTTTGATTTTGAGTTTCACCGATTAGGTTTGTTGATATAGAAATGGCTAGTTTATACTATGTAAAAGTAAAAAGTTGAGGTTTGATGCTACTCTTATTTTAGGTCCACCTAAAGGAACCATTGGAAGTCAATGCCTTTTCTTTCTTTTTCTCTTCTTTTCTGGACTCTTCCCTTCCCTTTTCCTCCCCTATTTGGTTTTGTATTTTATATTATAAACAATTTTTTTTTTAATTAGACATTCCGTTGTTCATCTGCCCACATCACAGCAAGAAGCACAAAAGGACTTCGGTGCAGGTAGTCAAACGGTTTAAGACAGCAACGGAGTCCAAACATTTCTGTTGTTAAGCGAGACAACAGCTCGCTTGTTAAGTTGAGCCTTGTCCCCAATTTCACGACCTTTCTTGCCGCCGTCGTGAAGTGAAGCACTGTGTCAGGATCCCGACACTTAACCCCCATTTAAATCATGAGTCTCTAGCCGAACTCCAAAAGAATTTATTGGGAGTTAGAAGAGGTGGCACTGCCTGGGTGTAGCCGACTCTGAGACACATCATTCACTGTCACCCTTGACCCTGGTTTTCCCTCCACCCCACCCCCTGGGTGTATCGTAATTCATATCCTCCAATGGGACACCTCCCTAGCCCGGAGTCATCAATCATGCTCTCCAGTTAGCATTTTGCAAGGCAGACACTTCGGTCGCCTGGACACTATCTTTGAAAACATTTATGGAATGCAAGCTGCCCGTTGCTTCCGCCTCCCTTTCTGTTGGCAACTCTAAAAAGACCATAGAAATGTTTTATGAGCTGACACACTGCAGTTGAAAAGGAGACATTAACCAAAGTTATCTGTGAAAAATGTTCAGACGTTCCTTCTGCCCCCACCCCCCGACTGTTGTAACTTAAGTGAACTGCTGTTAAGGCAACCGAGTCAGCTCTTTCTCCCTCTCATATCCCACCCACCTGCCCCGAGAGAGCGCCACCGAAGGGACCTACGTTGACTTGATGGTGATGCATCTCTCTTGCTCATCTTTCCTGGTGTCGGTGAAGCGGGTCTCACCGGCACGGGCCGAGGCGATAATGCCAGCTTTGCATACCAGCGAGTCGGTCAGAGTGGACTTCCCGTGGTCCACGTGGGCAATCACCGACATGTTCCGGATGTTGGCCTTTTTGTCCATGATGGCCCGGATCTGGTCTACTGTGAAGTTCACCTGGGGAACAGGAGAAAGACGACGACTGTGTTAGGCCAATAAAGTCGCCAGTTCCCTTCTCAAAGGAGATGGAAACCCCACCGGGACAGAAGAACAAGAGTCGGAAGGCAGCTTGGAGGTCTTCTAGTCCGACCCCATTCAGGCAGGAGAGCCTACACCCGCGATGGCGAACCTACGGCACGCATGCCGGAAGCGGCGCGCGGAGCCATCTCTCCAGGCACGCTAGCCGTCCCCCATTGCTCTTCCAGGTTCTACTGCAGGCATGCGCTCCGGCTAGGGGGTCTCCATGTGCGTGGGAGCGCTGGAAAGCAGCTCCCCAGCACACATGCGTGTGCCGGGAGGCTGAGCTTCCGGTTTCCGGCACATGTATGCGCGCCAGCCAGCTGGTCTTCGTGCGTGCATGCATGCCAGGAGCTGGTTTCATGCATGCCAGGAGCTGGTTTCATGCGTGCACCAGAAACCGGAAGTTCAGCTTTCCAGCACATGCATGCACGACGGGGAACTGCTCTTCCGGTTTCCAGCACGCGCACACACACACACACACACACACACGGCGTGACAGGGAATTGGTCCTCCGGTTTCTGGTGCCACCACCTCCCGTTTCAGCTCTCGGTGAAAAGTTTCGCCAACACGGCCCTACACCATTACAGAAAAATGGTTGTTCTACCTCTTCTTAAAAAACCTTCAGTGTTGGAGCACCCGCAATTTCTGGACGGAAGCCATTCCACCGATTCTTTTGTCGGGACATTAATCCTTAATTGTAGCTTGAATCTCTGTTTAGTATATTTTACTCCTTGTCCTGCCTTCAGGTGCTTTGGAGAATAATCTTCTTTGGGGCAGCCCCCGAGATATTGGAAGACTGCTATCATGTCCCGTCCCCCCCCCCCGCCGGTCCTTCTCTCATCAAACTAGACATACCCAATCCCTGCAACCGCTCTTCGTATATTCTAGCCTCCAGTTCCCCTCATCTTCTTTACGTGGTTTTTCCTCTGCACTATTTCTAGAATCCTATTTTCATGTGCAAAAGAGGGGAAATCGTTTTCGTTGGCCTGGCTCCCAGGGACCGAGACCCATTCCGCTGACTATTCACACAACCTCGAACGCTAACAGTCAAAACAAAACTCAGAAGGCAAGGAAGCAAAAAACAGGGTCAGCAGCAGCAGACCAGAAAACCCTGAGCTGGCTAGGAATGTTCTAAAACAAGCGTCACGGTGTTTTCCATGACATCACCATAGAAAGTGAGGCAATATGTCAACCGCATCACTCATTAGCCTTTTAGGTTTCAGGTTGTCGTGTGTGTGTTGTTGGTTTTTGAACTGGTAAGGTAAAGGTTCTCCTGGCACATATGTGCTGGTCGTTTCTGGCACTAGTGGGCGGTGGTCATCTCCTTTACAAAGCCGAAGAAGAGCCGGCGCTGTCCGAAGACGTCTCCGTGGTCATGTGGCCGGCATGACTAAACGCCGAAGGCGCACGGAACGCTGTTGCCTTCCCACCAAAGGGGTCCCTATTTTTCTACCTGTATTTTTTTTTACATGCTTTCGAACCGCTAGGTTGGCAGAAGCTGGGACAAGTCACGGGAGCTCACTCCGTGACGCGGTGCCGGGGATTCGAACCGCCAAACTGCCGAAACCTTTCTGATCGACAAGCTCAGTGTCTTCGCCACTGAGCCACCGCGTCCCTCTGGAACTGGTAGTACATCTGAATTACAGGCAGTCCTCCTCTTATGACCACAATGGAGCCCAAAACGTCTGCTGCCGAGTGAAACATTGAAGTGAGTTTGCCTCATTTTACGAACTTTCCCGCCACCGTTAAGTCTAGTTAAAATTAGTCCAACGGTTGCTGAGTGAATCGGACTTCCCAGTGGACTTCGTTCGCCAGAAGGTCGCAAGAGGGGATCCCGCGACTCCCGGGGTAGTGCAACCGTCATAAACATGAGTCAATTGCCAAGTGGTCTCAATTTTGATCACGTGATTGTGGGGAAGGTTACAACCGTTGTGCGAAAACTTGCCCTAAGTCGCTTTTTTCCCAGTGCCGTCGTAATTTTGACCAAATCGTTATAAGTCGAGGAATACCTATGTAAGTTATCAGAAAAGTTGATTTGTTAGATTTGTAATTCAGTATAACCCAAATCCCTGGTTTAAAAAAATATATATATTTTTTTAAAACCAGGGATTTGGGTTATACTGAATTACGAATTATCAGACGGTCAATTTATTTGATTTCTAAGCAGCGGGCTGGGAGTTCTAGTGCCGCCTTAGCCACGAAAGCCAGCTGGGCGACTTTGGTCCAGGTCCCTTTCTCTCAGCCCTATTTCCCCCTCACAGGGACGTTGTCGTTGTGGGGAAAAGAGGAAGAAAGGAAGGAAGGAAGGAAGGAACATTAGATAAGCTCACCAGCTTGAGTTAACTTATGCACGATAAATAAAGGCCTGGATAAAAAGCAAAAAAACCCAAAAAAGTTAATAATAAATTCCATGGCTTGGGGCCTTGCAGGTAAACTACAAGAAAGCCATCCAATATCCCAAAGGTGCCTTTTTTTTTTCCAAGAGGCAATCTGGACTTTCTGGTTTTCCTTTGAAGACGTTTTGCTTCTCCTCCAAGAAGCTTCTTCAGTTTTGACTGGTGGGGAATGGAAAGGTTTATATCATTTGCAGACAGCTGGTTATTAGCACCCTGAAGGTGCTGACTCTTTAAAGAATATAAATCCTTCCCTTCCCGACCATCCAGTCAGAGCCGAAGAAGCTTCGCGGCGGAGAAGCGAAACGTCTTCAAAGCAAAACCAGAAAGTCCAGTTGTCTCTTGGAAAAAAGCACCTTTGGGACAACCAGGGCCTGGAGGACTGAGAATCTCCATAAAGTCCAGTAGAATCATGGTAGAATCATGTGGCCCAACAGCCGAAAGGCCCTCTGGAAGAATGAGCTTTGCCTTCCGCTGAAAGTGGCAGGGAAGGAATTAAGGTATCTCAAGAGGGGTGCCATCCTAGACACGGAGGCTGTTCCCCAAAAAACAGGGAAGACCATTTCCCCTCCCTTCCTCATGTGTGGACTCTGGAAGGAAGGGATAGATGGATGAGAAGGAAGGGAGGGAGGGAGGAAAGGATAGATGGGAGAAGGAACAAAGGGATAGATGAGGAAGGAAGGAAGGGAAGGATAGATGGAGAAGGGAGGAAAGGATAGATGGATAAGGAAAGAAGGAGAAGATAGATGGAGAAGGAAATGGTAGGTGGATGTGAAGGAAGGAAGGAAGGAAGGAAGGAAGGAAGGAAAGGTAGATGGAT